CAACTGCAAATATGTGACAAGTACTGAGCTACTTAACACTTTTGGGCCTTACATTAATGGAAAATTACATTTCTATTGACTATTTTTGCATACATTCTTATGCCATGTGACCAGCCAGCTGATTAAAGTAATGAAAAAGACAGACAGATGGACAATTTTCTAAATACATCAAAATTGACATGTTGAAATGTCAATTTAACAGATATTGAAGCAAAGACAAAGTTGAGAGCCGTAAACTAGTTAAATTTACCTTATTAATTTTTACTAGGATTTTTCAATATAGATATGTAAACTGCAAAAAACAGTCTCTGACCAAATGTTGTTGCTCCTGTGGACTTGGTCTGTCACAATAGCTCTGTTTGACAGACGATAAATTGATTCTGTAAATTATGGCAATAAACTATAACATAAAAACTACTACTACACATAAAATAATCACCGCTACATCTTCATAATTTCCCCCAAAAAATAGCAAAAATGTTATCACTTTTACATAGAAAGTTCACAGAAGATAAATATCGATCCCCAAAATATTGTTTTATCCATCAATTGTTAAATAATATGTTGATCTAGCATTATCGTGACGGGCCTATAGTTTCCATATAACATACATGACAGATCTGATTATTACAATGTCAGGCACATAACTTAAATGTGTCATATTGTCAAAATTGTTGAGGCTTATGTTGGAATAGAAATAACCTGATGACCGCCTCTGTCACTCTGGCACCTCCACAAACACCACAACACTGCAGCTCGATTGATCAATGCACGCCTGAAGCCATTTTCTTTGGTCTATTTATAAAGTAAAATCATGTAGTTCAAGCCACCTCAGTGAATAGCCACTGGCGAAAAGACACAACCGCAGACAGAACTGGAGCAGTCAGAAAGAAACTCAATAAGGCAACATGACAAAAATAAGAATTATATGTACATGGATCGAATAATGACACAATTGTAGTGCTATGGATTTCAAAGTCACCGTTTAGTTTTGTGAGTGTTGTTCTTCATGGAGCTCAAGTCAATCTGTGTTCAACTTAAAGTGAAAGTCAGTTGCTTCATTGTGGAGAGATTTTATTTTCCAAAGCAAGCAAGGTAAGACCCGCCCCCACAGATTCCTGATTGGATGAAATTAATGTATATGTTTGATACACAGACAGGGTGGTCCAACCGTTCTCATGCAGAAAATATTATAAGTGATTATGCCAAGGAGAGGGGGGAACATTGCATTATTGTTTTTATATATCAAATAGAATTAAAGTTACAGACACCAACTTTAAGTAATATACCACATGAAAATTGTAGCACACACTCATTCACTTTCCCCTCATACCAGATGATTTGTACCTTTATTCGCTAAAGGAAGTTGAGAAAAAAAGCAGTATTTTCACTTTAATTACTAGGATAAGACTTTTTAAAGAGAGGCCTGGTCGAGTGGACACAGGGTACAAATGTAAAGTTATCCTGTGATCCTACTCCAGTACATCTATTTTGATAAACCTGTAAATACACAATGTATTAGGACAATATATATGAAAGAACCTTTATCTATCCCACATGTACCCAGAGAATAGTAATATGATTTTGTAATTTGATGATGTAATTGTAATTTTATACTTTAAACAAAAGTCATTCATCAAGCTTGTATTACGTCACATTGCAAGCTTGACAGGAATATGCAGAATATAAATTCATCAGAAAAAAATAGCTCATTGCTCCACAGTCAAGAGCGCTAATTGCTTTGAGATTTTGAAAGATAGAAGATTACAGCTTAATTTCTGTTTTTGGGAAACTTTCCAGACTATGGAATCTGGTCATGTAAAAGTTGTTCTTAATGTATTGATATTTGGAAATTTTCAACAACACAGGTGAACACTCAAATACGCCTTCACTGGATGCAGGTCAGTCTCACACTACTCATCAATGGCTTTTAACTAAATTTACCATCAGAGGTTTTATAATTTTCTCCGTTAGCTTATACATACACAAATTGAAAGGCAAACTGGAGTTTCGCATCAATCATTGTTGCTGATAATGCTGATAATACTCTAAAGCTGTAGGTTAGCAAGGCTAGTTTGGGGATCAATATTCATAATGCATGTGGACACTGGAGGTAGGCCTGAGCCTTTTATTGAATTCTGCTTTTGATTGATTCCAACCCTCAGCTCAGCTCACCTCAGCTTTGAGATTGTTGATACAATCAGTTGAATGACTTTTCCCTGCAGAGTGGTTGGTTTTTACTCTTATGAGCGTGTCAGCCATTGTGCATGTCCAAAGGTCACGCAACACGCAAAGGCATGCAAACACATACAATGTGATTCACACAAAATAAATGGAAAGTGTCTTGGTGTGACTGTTTCATGTCTGAGCAAATACATATGTATATAATGTCATTATTTGAATCCCCACGACACACATGCAGCTGCAGTCAGATGTGCTGTGCTCTGGTCGGAGGAGCCGGACACAGATGTATTAACCAGCCAGTAGCAAGAGTGAGTAGCTCAGTTACACATGAGAAGCTTTAAGTAGAGCTGCTGCTCCTTCTCATCCAGAGGAGCCAGCTGAGGTGGCTCAGGCATCTGTTTCGGATGCCTCCTTGGGGAAGTGTTTGAGAGATGTCCCAATGGAGGGAGACCGCAGGGAAGCCAGGCCATCTGATAGAAAGCAAACACTTCAGAATTCCCCTGCGGTGGCTGAGTGGGTCAGGCTCAGGCATCACAGCAAGAAGGTTGCGAGTTCAATTCCTGAGCAGATGAGTTTCTCTCTGTCAAGATGAATTTTCTCAAGGCATGCCGGTTTCCCCAATCATTGTAAACATGCAGCGTATGACTCTAGTGAGTGCTGGCGGTGGGTGGAGAGCAGAGGGCGGATGGCAAAGATTGGTAGCATCACTTCTGTCACCACAGACAGCAGCTTTGAGTGCAAGGCTCATGAGCTGGAAGAAGTGTGCATGGAGAGGGAAGTCTGCCTCTGTGATTGGATGAATATCAAATTATCAGAAATGTGAAGGGTAATTTCAAATGAGAGGTCCACAGTCAATAAAACCAGGAAGTTTAGGATTACAAGGCAACATAAGAAAATTATTCAATGAATTAATTCATGTTATTTACTTACTTTATAATGCTCATTATGCTTGGACTTGCATTGTTAGTTTTAATTTATCCTGGTTTAATTTTGTTGATTTTTTATTTATTTATTTATATATTTATATTGTCACACATAAGATAAATTTCCCCATCAGAGAAATGTTTTACAATAGTATTACCGATGACTTGCTAATACAAGTGTTCAAGGACAGTTTTGAAATTAAGTTGATTAAAACCCCTTATTACTGCCCTGAGAGCCAGCGCTGAATGGTACATAGTGGTAATTACATGTAGGGATGATGTCAGTCTTGACCTGAAAGGGAATAGAGACAAATCAGTGAGCAGCTTCAGGCTGAAAGAAGAACAAGAACAGCCCAATGTCACCCACAGAAAATCTTGTTTGTCTGAAAGCCACAAAGTCAGAGAGAAAAAGTGCTCCAACATGAATACATTCATTATATATTCTTTTAACAATAATCACGGGATAATGGTTCTACATTCAAATGTTCAGCTGTACTATGTACACAAAGGTACAGCGCCAGTACATGGTGTTCTGAAGCAAGTTGCATGGAGGAAGTCATACGCTGCAGATTAGAGGAAAAGAAGAAGAATCTTGTCTGTGTACTGCTGTCTGTGGTTTTGGATGGGTTCACCCATTTTAAACCAAAGTGGCTTAAGGTCAAAGAAATCATGCTCAATAATTTCTCAAAATTGTTAAAATGGTCCACTGATTAGAGTGAAACAGATCAATCCTTTTTCTGCTCAAATGCCTTTGGCATTTATGAAACCACATGCAGTGACAAACATCAGGAAGGAGGTCAACAAGACTCTAATACACCTCAAAACTGCAAAAAATGTAATGGAAATTATGTCAGGCTAATAACTGAAGTCCTTGTGATTTGCCTATTGCAAAGACATAAGACAGAATGTGTTGCGGTTGAGATGGATATGAACTAGATACAGTACAGTATACTATGTACGAAGGCATACAATTCTCACTAGTATAGTTTAGTTTAGTCTTTATTTGAAGGGACAGTGTACAGTGACATTAAGCTCAAAGACAGATATGTTCTGCACCAGATTATAGCTAAACAGCTAGTTTGAATCAGCAGTCCCTGGTTACATCAATAAAATTCATGGATACAGTAATGTACATTCTTAAAAAATAACATTGCAATACAATGCTCTCTCTCTGATACCTATTTATTTTGACTCAATGTCACATTATTAGGATAATTATTCTGAATTGTTCATATCACTTTGAGAAGATCCATTTAATTCAGTATTCAGTAAGAACATATACAACTTTCTCTTTCAGAGTTACTGTAGCAAACATCAGGATTCCACTTCTCTTCTAGTGCTACTATAAGTGGGCTACTTGGTCCTGTCATCCCATGTGACAGGAAGGACTGCAGCAGAGCTATCTGTCCTCAAATATAGGCACTATGTTGGAAGAGTTAGCGCTCCAGCTTACCCCACATATTGCATTAGAAGAAAACACTTAAAAATAGAAGAGACAGGGAAAAAGACCGTTGGGTTTCTTTACCCACATAATAGTAGGCGATGACAGAAGTATCTGCACACCGGTGGACCCATAGGTAGACAGACAGCCCTCAGATCCCCGTGAGAAAGTTCCACCGAGTTGTGGTGGAGGAAGTTTCTGTGTCGTTGGTTCGTGTTACGTCTTGTTGGTTTACAGCAGACGCTGACAGCGTCAACAACTGTTGAGCCAAACTTTTCTGTCGCGTGCTTCAATTACGCACAGATCAGACAGTCCACTGAGTCCAGAACCACGAACTGTCATAATGTCGCAAATATGACAGTGCACAGCCCTCTGGCTAGAACACAGCCCTCTGGCTAGAGCACACGCCTGAATCATAGACTGAATATTAACCCTGTTTAAAGCAGACGCACCTCGTTGGTTGAGCTCGGGGCTCAGGCGCTGCTCTGCCCGGCTGTGGTGAGGCGCAGGCGGGAGAGTCTCCAGGACAGGCCCGCCTGCAGGCCACAGTCTGTGGGAGAGGGCTCTGACTGCCTTCGCACTACTGTCCGAGATGTTGAAGAGATAATCCATGACAGCGGCTCGGAGACTTTTGACTAAAGTTTAGTGAAGTAATGCTCCGGGCGTAACGTGTGCGCCAGTGCAACACCAAACTGCGCTAACTGCGCGCACATTCCAAAACAGGAACTATCTGTCAGACGCTCCAGAGCAAATCTGTCCCCTAGTGGAGTCGAGCTGCCCTGGACAGAACACTACAGCTGCTTTACACGTCCCGCTTGTATAGACTATAGATCGAGGCTCCTTTAACCCGCCTCTCTTGTGTTGACTGCGTACAAAATACACAGGACTCTTGAACAGATATTATCTGCTATAGTAAAAAGTGTAGAGCTCACGTATCGAGAGCTCTTTTATTGGCAGAGGGACCACAGAGGGCTGCATGCAAAATAGAAACTTCTAAAAAGTGTTTAAACTACAGCAATACAAAACCAAATATACAGAATACACAACAGGATGTCAAAGAATATTTTTTTTCTTCTAAATGTATGTCCATGTCCTCCATGGCTGAGGTAACGAACGGAGACTTCTGTAATAATACGAGATGAACCGTGTGATGTAAAGATGACATTTAAAGCGCCCACGGAAGAGAGAGAAAACAACAGAACATCAGAACAGCCTATGGGAATATAGAGAGAACAAGTTTATTATTCAGATAGGGATAAACGCAGATGGGCCTTCTGGTCCAAACACTCAAAATGAGAACATGATTCCCTAAAAACAGCTTATGAATTAAACCCCAATATAATAAGGGTAATAGGGATTCTAATTAGTTAATAATGATGGTATTTTTCAAAGAAGATTCACGTTTAGAGCGTATCTTAATTTGTAAGGCGTCTTGAAACAGCAGTGTGCAGAAAGGGACAGTAATTGCCAACCTATGTTATGCTTTACATGGGTCATATAAACATTATGCGTTTGCCATCTGCTGGCGAATACGAGAAGTGCACGATTCTGTGACCTTAAAGGCAAATAAAAACAGTTCTGACCTGCTATTCTACATTCCATTAATGGCGTCCAGATACTTATAATTTGTGGAATATACGTAATAGTGGTGGATAAAAAGTGTTTAATTTGGTCATTATTTCCACTATACTCAGTCGGTACTAACATACTTCATCTAATTATATCTAAATATATTCCTAAAATGTTAATTAAATATGTAAAGACAGTGACGAATGTAGCACAAAGTCTTGACGGTCCATATACAGCATGTACCACACATTTATAGTCCGTATTTGAGGCAAAATAACAATATTTGTTACAATCTTCTCATCTCACTGAGTGCTCTTCGGAGAGACCTTTGTCACTGTGGATGGGGATGGATTGTCCACGTGTGTTGACTGGCAGTAGTTAGAATGGAAAATTTCCCTGCAAATGCCTTAGTCTATGATTAAGCCTTATTGTGACCAGAGAAGAAAATAAATACAAGAATTCCCACTGTGACTGTCCATTTACTTCATCCCCACTACATGGAAATAATGTGAAATACTGCTTTTAGACAGATAAGATTCTTTGTAGCAGATTACATCAATTATATCATATTTTGCAATCAAAATTTTCCTTTTACATTTAGAGGGGAGGACAGCCGAGTAGTCAGAAGTTGCAGATATTGTGGGGCTGACTGAAGTGAATAGACATCATTTTATGTCATGGCCTATGCTCCATGTTTCCCATGAGGATATGAGAGTTTCCCCAAACTCCACAAACAATACTGATCATCAATAGTTACCTCGCACAAACTACACAGAAAAGCTAAATATGAGTTAAAAGCTACCTAAGGTTCACTTGAGATTTGTTTAATAATTAAATGGTCCAAATCTGTCAAAGGCATTAATAAATCATGCTCTTTTCCAATACTTGAATTTCAAAATTAGTTTTACAGCCCCTAAATCTTGTTATAGTTTTCGCTTCGATGTCCCGCCCTCCACCGTTTTACTAATCAGGAAGTCTGTGATCCAGGTTTCTGAGGAACTGAGCTAGTCTCACTCACTGGTAAAGAAACATGTGGCCGCAGAACTAAAAACGGTCTCGTTATGATTCTCATTTCATTAATAACAAAACAAGAAAGAAAACGAGGATTTCTATTGGGGCCTTTGTGAAAACGGTGTTGGTTATAGATTTGCTGTTGGCAAAACTCTGCATATTTGTCTGCATATCTGGCAACCTGAGTCAGGGAGAGTGGGACAGGTTGAAGTACCACTTTTGGCCAGATTTTTACATACTGCTCCTTAAAGTTAACCTCAGGGTAAACAAAGGGTCACAGTTTATAATAAAATAAAGGGCATGGTCGCTCTCCTGAGAAAATTACGTTCAACATGATTTACAACATTCCGTGATAGCCCATAAATAATTAGGAAACACTGGTCAATATAAGCCTTTAGTTGATCGGACAAATAAACAATTTATTGCATATATGTGTTAAAGTCAATGCTTTATCCAATCCTTGCATCCAGACCTAAGATTTCCACTGGAGCTTGGAAATCATTTTGTCGAATAACTTAAGATGAAGTCACGTCACTGACACGGCACATATACGAGTGGTGTGTCAGGAGCTGGCGGTGTCAGCAGAAGCCCTGGGAGATTGTACAGTGTCTCTCCGAGCGGCCCACTGGAGAACAAGTGTTAATCTCAGCACTTTCCCATCGAGAGGCAGGTACACTGCAGCCTAATCCCAGGCACAGGAACACTCTCATAATGGAGCAGCAAACATGACAGCCGCTGGGAGCTGCAGCGTTTCCAGCATCAGCCCATGGACAGAATACACAAACACATTACATAAGCAGAAGAGTGTTGAACCCGTGGCAGCCTGTGCGTCTTCACACACGACACACAGACACTATTTATTCAAAGACATTTTATCTTATTTTCCTAGATACAGTATGAGTATGCATGGAGATAACAGAAGAATTGTTCAATGTTCAAAACTCAATTTAAACACTATTTAAAAAGGAAACACTGACGATGGAGATTGAGTGATGCCCTCAGCAAGAGAGAGAGAGAGATGGGAGGTGTGGGCTCAGAGAGAGTTTGGGCCTGTGTCTTATGGCAATAGGTAACATCCATCCATCCATTTTCTGCCCCTTAATCCATTTCTGGTGGGGGGTTTCAAAGTGGGTTTAAGTGTCTTGCCCAAGGACACAATGGCAGCAGTCATCAGTGGAAGTAGGTGGAGAAGGTCTCATCAAGGGCTCGAACCTACGACCTTCAGCAAAGGCCAATGCTCTTCCAACTCAGTGGCTCATGCAAAATTAACTATTCAAATTATTCTGACCATTATTCTGACCATCTTATCAGATCTACTTTCTATGGTCTCAAATCAATTCCATTCAATTGATTTTTGTACATCCCTAAATCACACCAGTGTTGTCTCGGAGGACAAAGATAAGATAAGATAGACTTTATTGATCTCACACATGAGAAATTTACATGTCACATTTGGCATGGATAGAATCACTCAGATGTGTGCAAAAGACAGCAGATGTTGATTCGCCAACACAGATCAGAGAATCAAACAGTTGAACAATTGTACTTTGAGTGATTGTTCAACATGGTTTAAGGTCAATAAAACATGTCAAGGGAAAGTGTTTTGGTTATAGATATACTTTATGCCCCTCATACTGACTGCATTTGACATATTCTTCAATGACAATAGGATGACCTTTTAGGAGCAATACCTTAGACTTGTTGAACCCATTGAAAGCTCTACATGCATTTTTTTTCAATCCATACTGGCTGCTGGTAATCAACTATTGTCGGCAGGACTGAAAGAAGCCAGGTTGCCTGAAAGAGGTGCTGATGCCAGTGTGCGTCATCAGCATCTCTGACCCCCATCATCATTCAATCACACAGCGGATTCTCACCGTGTATATTTTCGGAGATGTTGAGGCATGACTGAAGCCCACTCAGCCGCTGTGTCAGTCATTGAACTAAAGAGTAGCCCCTGTAACGTAAATGACAACCAACTACGAGACAAAAATCATCCAGAGGGAAAAGAGAGAACAACGCTTTCCACCTCTTCTCTGAGTGGTTACATAAGTCTGAATGATGTCATTCAGAGAAACGTCTTTTTCCTTCGATTTCCAGGGACACTGAACAATAATGACCACTTAATGTTCCCTGTGCCGCGTAGTGAGCTACACTTAAAAGGGAAATTACAGGCTGCGGTCTGTTAGTCCTGAGTTGATGGGTGATCTAAGGATTGATAGAAATGCCATTTGAACAGTTTAAGCACATATTAAAGTCTTTACATAATCTTTAAGTGGGAAGTGAATGCATTTTAAAAGGTCATTGGCTTTCAAATTGTGGAAATAGAACCGATAGCTGTATGTTGACAGCTTCTCTGGCGTCTGTCCGGTTCCTATAGTTGCATAGTAAAAGGTCTAGTTAAGGCATTGTCAACTATGTCTTTTAGCTCCCTCTTAATACTGATGTGAATTGTTGCCTCGGTTGGCTGCAAGGTGGCTGAGTGGGTAGCAGAGGATCATCAAGGCAGTTTTAGGTTCCATAGGTTTCTGTATGGAGTTGTGTCCAACTGGGTTTCCTCCAGGCACTCCGGTTTCACGTACAACCCAAAACATGGGGAGTAAAGTGAAGGAGGTGGTCAGAGTGAGAGCCAATAGATAAATGCCTCATTTCCATCACCACCAAGTGTGGAGTGAATGAATAAACGTCAGTCTGTAAATTCCGTCTGCTCAAAATAAAAAGGAGAAACAGCGCTGTTCTTTTTTGTAATATTATTTGGCCAGAGCCCATGTGATGTTAACGCTTATTTCTTTCAACACCAAATTCAAACTAGACCCCGCTCATGAGTCGGCCGGTATGTTTGCATCGCTGTCTCTGCTTATATTCTCCTCCAGGTCTGTCCTTCTGGGTGGCTCCTTGTGATCGATGACCGCAGGCGTCTGAGCCACCTATCTCTCAGCGTTACATCCCCTGCCCCCGCTCCAGCTCATCTATCCTGTGGGTGCTTTTCTGTCTCGCTGCCCTGAGAGGGTGGGTGGCCCCCAGCGACTGAT